AATACACTCAGATAAATGGCGTGGTTATACACGCATTAATAACAGTAATTTAGGATTTTCACATTTCATTGTTAATCACAGTAAAACCTTTGTGAACCATCATACTGGTGATCATACACAGAACATTGAAAGTGTATGGAATAAATACAACTATGTTCTAAAAATATACAAAGGTATTGTGGCATTAAGATAAATTTATTACTAAAAGAACTAATCTGAAAAAGTAATCTTTGCTTTAATAAGAACTTTGAAGATTTATTGGTTTTATTAAGATTTTAATACAATGGCTTTCAAAATAAAAAGACAACCCTTTTTTCTTAGTGCAGAAAATCTATTAAAAAGATATAAATTTTATTGCTTATAGTAAAATAAAAAGTTTTTTTAAAACTTAAACTAATTTTATTTTGTTAAAAAAATATAATATAATAATCAAAAATATAAAATTTTATAAATATTATATTTCAAAATAAAAAGGCAGTAAAAAATTCCCTCTAAAAATAAGTTTAAAAAATAAAATTTAATAAATTTTCATATGACAAAATATTTATCAGAAAGGCAGAAAGCTTTAATTAAAGAAGATATTAAGTCTGGTTTAAATCAGACACAAATTTCTAATAAAAGAAATATATCTCGAAATACAGTTCAGAGGTATATTTTAAAGTAAAATGATGGTTCTTTTTATGAGAAAAAAAGGGATCTGGTAGAAAAGAGCTACTTCAACCAAATCATAAAATTTTTTTAATTATAGAACATGCCAAAGATCATTTCGTTACATTACCAATCTTACAAAAAAAATTATTAGATAAGTTTAAATTAAATGTCAGTTAATCAATCCTATCTAGATTTTTAAAAAATAATGATTTATTTACAAATCATTTATTGAAGAAGCCATTATTGAGAGGTGTAAATATTGAAAAAAGATTTAGATTATCTAAAAAAATTTAGGTATTACTGATGATGAGTTAAACGAATAATTTTCTCAGATGAAATAAAGTTCAACTTGATTAATAGTGATGGTGCAAGATATGTTCGATATCTACCTAGAAAGAAGTATGAAACTTCAAATATTTTACTAACAGTAAAACATGGTGGAGGAAGTGTTATGGTATGGGGTGCAATCTCATACTATGGTGTTTCAGATTTAGTTTTCATTGAAGACAAAATGACTGGTGGAGAATACAAAACAATTTTAGCAAGACATTTGTTTAAATTTGCAAGAAAACATCAGATAGATGGTTTTATTTTTATGTATGATAATGATCCTAAACACACATTCAGTATTGTTGTAAATTATCTTGATGAAATGAAAGTAAATTTGTTAGAATAGCCTCCACAAAGTCCTGATTTAAACCCAATCGAGTATATTTAGGCTTACATTAAGAGAAAACTAATTGTTTTCGGTAAATTAAAAAAATTAAAAGAAAGAATATTAGGAATTTAATATTCAATTGATGCAAATATGTTGCAGAATTGTTTTAATAGTTTTCATGAACGTGCTCTTGAGATTTACAAAGCAAAAGGTAAACATACTCTTTTTTAAATTTATTATGCCTTTTTATTTTGAAATATAATATTTATAAAATTTTTTATTCTTGATTATTTTATTATATTTTTTAAACAAATTAAATAATTTAAGTTTAAAAAAAACATGTTAATTTACTATAAGCAATAAAATTTATATATTTTTAATAGAT